ATCTTAGGCTAGGCGGTAAGTATGCGTTACATATGGTTATGTTGGAGTTTAGGCTAGTAGTCTTTGCTATTAATACATCCATATTGCTTTTATACTTAATTTTCGTGAATTTGAGTCCTTTTTTGAAGCCGATAGCTACCCCTCCATAACCATCCGGCCTAGTCTTTCTTAGTAGATTAAAACCTATAAGATTGTGATTTGTTGTTGATTCGTCGTGTGAAAATATTTCCTGAAGGCATATAATGTCTATGTCGTGCCTATTATTAAAGTGGTCTAAATAGCTCTTATTTGCCTTAAGGCTTTGTATATTATATTGTAGGATTTTCGTGTTCATTTGTGGGAGTTGGTGTAATTCTGTCGCTAACTCTAACTTTACAAATTTTCTCTAGCAACTGTACTAGGAGTTCGTTTTGATCTATTTCAAACTTTTTAATGAGTAAGCTAACCAGTTTCTCTATTTCTGTCACTCTGTCCCACTGTGCACTTAAGAAGAAGGCTGTTTAGTTGTGTCTTTTCTTTTTACACTGATCGTTTCTTTTTCGGTGTGCATGTTTGCGGGTTTGTACTGCGTTACTTGGCTATACTTCTTTCTTGTCAATGTTTGGTTAACTACCTGATCATTGTTTATGACTTGATTGTGATTGGAAAAAGTGGCTGGAAAGTTTTCCTCAAAATCTAACTGCGAAAAACGATTTGCTCTATTTTCTAAACTATACATGTCAAAGGCCTCTTTTTTAGAGATTTTTTTTTATGGTCATTATTTCCAACACTTTTTCTTCTTTCTGCCACACTTCACATGTCTTTTTGTTCACTGAGTTGTGACCTTCATTCCCGCATATAATGCAATTATTGGTAGTGGTTTTACAGTTGCTATTACATCCTTCCTCTTTTCCACAAACAATGCATCGGTTTTTGGCTTTGCAGGTTAACCCGGTATAGCCAAGCCTTCCGCAGTTGAAACACTGTCTTACCCTCGGAATATAGTGCTGCACTTTAAGCTTAGCATAAAATAGGTTTATTGTTTCCGGAAGCTCATGTCCTTGAAAACCAATTTTGACCGAAAATGTTGGCAGAAATTTTTCTCTATCATTTGGGTCCCGTCTAGTTAATCTAGTTACTGATGTCACTTTTATGTCTGATATGATGTTGCTTAGAATTTCTTGATCAGAAAAGCCCAGCGGCACATTTCTAACAACCCCCATGGTTTCAACAAAATTTTTTGGAATGAATGGCTTCATTTCATTTTTAGTCAAATATTGGTTTTCAAGGCACTTGTTTGCTAATTCGTACGTTTCAAAAAAAACTTTGTATAAAGATTTGCCTATAGCCTTAATATTTTTGATACCCTCTATCTGAAAATTTCTAATTTTATCCCACAGGAAAAGACCATTTCGCATTCTGTCATTTTGATGTGTCTATTAAAAAACAAAAGTCCCCCCTATGTACGTTTGTGTACCGCACACTGTACTTAATGCTTTCGTTATTCACAGTTGATGTTTCGTTTCCACTTTTTTCCGCTTATCTTTCTAATAGCCTGGTGTACCATGATGCAATAATACAAGGTGGTATCAGTTGTGACAGCTCGATTTGACACTACCTTAGCTCAGTAGAATGAGAAGAAAAACGGGAAGAAATGAATCCCCATATGGGGGAAAAATATAAAATTTCACATTTTCTCCTTAACAAAATTTGCTTTTTTATAGTATATTCGTTATGAAATGAAATAAAATAAGATAAAATACCTTTTTAAGAAAAAAAATGTGTATACTGAGAAAAAATAAAAAGCATTCAACTATATTAATGGGCAAAGAATAGTGAAAGAAGTAACACTGTTTCACGTAAGGTAGTCAATATGGCGGAATTAGAGCGAGAAGTTGCCAACTGATAACACCTTGTATTATTGCATCATGCTTGTGTACGTGCCTTTTGGTACAATCACACCTTGTAGCGGGATTTGCATTCCGTTATTTTCGTCCGTCTTTGTCTTTTTATTATTCTTTCTAACTGTACCTAATTTTGCACTGTCTTCGTCAGTCTCGGAGTCTTTTTTCTCCATATTACACCTTTAATTATTCTTTTTCTGTTTAATTTTTTCTGATTTCTACTGACTTCGAACCAATTCGAGGCCATAGAGTCAGACTCATTAATATCTACAGCCTCTGACGCCGAAGCGTCGGCCATGCTGCTTTGAAAACTTCTTGCTCACTTATATATGTATACACGGCACTGAGAAACTTACCCACAGAAATATGCCAAACTTGATGCCACGCTAAATTGTCCTCTAAATTATAGAGTTGTCTCAAAAAGTTCTATATATTTTATAAAAACACAATTACTGCACAGTGATAAAAGAAAACTTAACACTTATAAATGCTGCTGAGGTCGACGTTCCACTAAAGATGAGTTGTAACCTCCACCCTCGGCTGCTATGCTGCGAATGATTGTCACCTTTGGTGGTCTTGGTGATTTTGCTCAAACAAATTTAAAAAAATTAAAAATTACAATTCCTTTAATCTGTTCATATAACGTTTTTCTATATAATCAACAGTTTTGCCGGTAAAAATAAATGTATGAAGAAAAAAAATATTTTTTGCCTAAAATATTAAATTTTTTTATTTTTTAAATTCTTAAAAAATCCAAAACGGAAAAAAAGGCAAGTCGTATTATTTTCACGCAAAGTCACATAACCTTTAAGCAAAATTAGACATAGATCATGATAATCGATGGACGCGTTTCGCTTTTATTCACAATTAAGTGAAGGTATCTCATACCAAAGGTGACAATTTCCCCTATATGATAGTTACTAACTTCAAATCGATATATCTCGATTCCTAGACGTGACCCAGCGAAACGCCGGGCCACGTATAACTTGTTTTTGACCGATATAACATTTCCCGTTGGTTTCATCCCATCCCGATTTTGACTGTCGCATAGTGTAATTGAATCATGCTTAGAAAAGCTAATAAGCTACCGAATAAAATAAAATTCTTCTGCCCAAATCTTCCTCTGAAATTTTAATGTACTCTTTTAACACGCTTATATATATGTGTTTCACCTGTATGTAAAACATTCGATCTTTTTAATTAGATTTCATAGAAAGATTTTAGGTATGCCGTTTTGTGGTCCATTTAATTTAAGCACAATAAAGTGCAAGTTTAAAGTAGCTGGGATTACGGTTGATTTTTGGAAGTTTTTTTTTGCTGAAGGGGTTGCTTATTTTCTTCATATCATCGAACATACTTCGTATGGAAGAAAATTACTGGCAATCTCAACAAAAAAATTTCACAAATTAACGACAATAGTCCAATCATAATGAAAGCCACGAGCTACGGACCACAGCTGCCAAATTATTTTAACCTGTACTCTTATGTAGATAATTATTTTGGCGACGACCGGGCTACGCGACCGTAGCCAGATTAGATCTATTTCTATTTTTCCAGCGACAGATAAGGTTCTTCCTCTTCTTTTATGTCAAAATCATACTAATTAATGATGTCGATTGTAAGCTGTGGTCCTTAGCTTGTCGTTTTCAATAGGGGTATTCTCCGAGTCTTGCAAAGCCCTTGCACGGTGCACGGATTGCACGGTTTGCAAAGCTGTCCCATACGAAAGCCGGTTTTAACCGTGCAATCCGTGCAATCTGTGCACCATGCAAGGGCTTTGCAAGACTCAGAGAATACCCCTAATGTGTTTCTTAAGTCCTAGCCACTTCAAACTTGTACTTTACACTAAAATTTAGTGGGCTATAAAACTGCACTCTATGAAATCTAATTAAAAACTCGAAATTTACCAGACGCCATACTGGATCCGCGATTTTGAATTTTGCAATTCCGATAGGGGATTCGTAATTAGCGTCCCCGAAAAACCCCCAGGTACGATATTGCGAATAATTTCTTTAAGGCTTCGAATTTTGGCACACTTTTGGATTTCGACCGGATGTGTACATATGTATTTAATCTTTAAATGTCAAGAAAATTTAATTTTAATGAAATACTATATATGTATATGTACATATCGCACCATTAATAATATTGAGATGTAATTCAAAATTTACGTTTTTAAAGATTTCATTAAGTATGCAATTAACAAACTTGATAAGTAGAATATGTTCAGTCGAAACCAAACTTCCCAAACATGGCGAAGATATGTGTCTTATCTTTCTTTTTCTATACCAACTGTATGAATTGATAAAACTTTGATTGCGTTTTACCACTAAATTGAAATTTTGAATTACATCATTATATTATTAAAGGTGCGATCTGAAGTTCCCCAAGTGAAATTTTAACCATAATAACTATAACTGACGAATAATGAATAATTATTTAATTGGAGGAATAACCTCGCAGTATGTGGACGTCTAAAGTCCCAGTCATGATTACATTGTGTACATTGAAAATGTCTGACGAAAATTAGAAATCATACAAGCAAATGCTATTACAGCGGTACTGCCTTTGTATAGCTGCGGAGCAACATTGGACACATCTTATTGAATAAACCATACTTTGAGGAACAACCTGACTTGTTGGGACTATTGGCTCCCTTTAGTCATTGCTTCAGTGCACAAAGCAAAAAAAAAACATTATTGCAACAAAGCGTTTCATATAAAGAGTGAAGGCTATTTGATTCCAATGAGTCATTTTGTATTCCGAATATTGAGATTAGCACAAATATAACGTCTGGTTGGGCACCAACAGTACTTAGTACAGCTTAGGATGAAGCATCTATGTAGATCGACTTATAAATTAGCGTTTGCGAAGCCTGCTTAACGCGCTTAATTGAATTAGCATATTCTTGCAAAATTGCACATGAAAGTGATTAATTTCACTATTTTTCACCAATAGGAACCTTCTCCAGTTTGATATCATAAACATATTTTCGAACTCATCTTATTTAAATGTTTGCTATCGTATCGAAACTTCTGTCCACTGCCTCATTCATTAAATATATGGTATATCCCTTTTATCTGTACCCGAAATCATCATCACCATTTGTTTCCTCACCGTGTCCGTTTTTAACGCCCATTTCAGCTCATCGACGCTGTTGCTCCATACAAGCCAATGCAGTGGAAACTCTTTTTTTATATCTTCCAATTTCTTCATTGCTTTAACAATTACCGCGAGCTTGCGCTTCCCCAATACTTCAAAAGATTCGGCTTAGCCTTTTTGTAAAATAATAAAAGTTGGCCCTATATTCTACACTTTTGTATATTTCTGAATTGATAGTCCATTGCAAGGCGAATTTATACAAGGTACCAAGAATACAACAACCACAACCACATGTATCAAGGCGAATTTTTAATGTCAAAATAGGGTGTTTGTTGTAATAAGAATTCGCTTTGTTTACAACAAACACATCATTTTGACATTCAGTAGTATAAATTCGCCTTGATTTTCATGAACGAAAGACACAAGATCACGCCTTCCCGAAAGAAAGAAAAAAGTTATTTTCTTGCTGTTGAAATCTCGACGCCATCTTTTTTGTAAGAAGTAAACAACAGGGACGTGAACCGGATGAAAAATTTTGTCGGTTCGGTTCAGCGGTTCGAACCGTTTTTGCACTTTTGGATTGGTTCCTCAAAGCGGTTTTTTGGTCTTTGAACCGGGGTTTCGGTTCGGTTCAACGGTTCGAAAAACAAACAAGTAATAAAGTCTAAGTTCGGGCGGAGCCGAACATTAAACACCCGGCGCAAGTATTAAATATATGATTTTCACCTTTCCGAGAGCCACCGCAACATGGTAAGCGGGGTGTATAAATTTTGAGTAATTAAGCGTCCTTAAATTTCGAAATACTGAAGTTTCAAGCATTTCTGAAATTTACCGTTATATAAAAAGCGGCCTCAATTTTAGTCTGATTTCAATATTTTTGAACGTTTTGCTTTTATTTGTTAAGCACAATAGCCATACCGAGTTTGGTATAAATTGGTAGACCGGTTACCGAGATACACATATGTGATCATAAGTGGGCGGTGGCACGCCCGTTTCCCAAAATTTTATCACAAACGTATTTCTTCTGTCTTTCTGTCACAGGGTAGGTATTACAATGTTTAACAAAACGGAAAAAAGTTGGTACATTTATCTATTAAAACTTGGTTAAAACGAACCTTTAAACCTTTATGGAAAGTGGTTCGGTTTTCGGTTCGGATCAAACATTTGTGGAAAATTTCGGTTCGGTTAATGGTTCAGTTAATTAATAAAAAAAAGCGGTTTTCCGGTTCAAAACCGGTTCGGTTCAAAACCGGTTCACGTCCCTGGTAAACAACGAAGAGAACAAAAAAAACGCATAATTGTTGAATGCATGAATAATCATTTTTATTATGCAAATTCTTCTATAAATCATGTCGCTGTGTTAAATTATTCTTTACCTTATGTGTGCACACGTTGTCACAATCGAAAATTAAGAAAATTGCAGTAAAAGGCCACCACCAAATTGTAAACAACGAACAAATGTAAACAAACGGCTAATGTCAAAGTCGCCCAACTTTTTTCCTAAATGCGATTATAACGGGCTACTAACAAGAAGGCGTGATCTTGTATTTTTGGTTCATGCTTGATTTTGACATTAGTTGTGTTTTCGTATTCTCAAGCAAAAAATATCCAGAGTAAGCCAATATTTACTCCCAATGAGTGAAATATGCAAGAAAGTACGAAAACGCAAAACAAGCAAGAAGCTGCTAGTTTTATGAACAGCTGAATAATTTGTTATTTTCCGATGCAATTTTCTTAGAAAACTAGTATTTTCCATCTTATTATATATTTAAATAGGTTTATTTTGTCAATTGCAACTCTAAAAGCACCACAAACAATTATTTTGGTAATGTGAATTACATTAAGCATCATGCCATCACCTGTTTTACTTTCTAGCAAATAGTTGCTAGTAAAAATTTATCCAGTAAAAATCTAGTAAAACTTGCAAGTTCAGCTGTCATTTTTGCTCTCTCAATTTCCCCACTTTTACTAGTTTCTTGCAAGTTTTTGCGTACGAAAACGACATCCAGTAAAAAACCAGTAAAATTAGTACCGGATTTACTGGATAGTGCGTACGCGAACAGCGCTATTAATAAGTACCCAAAATGTATTCAACAAAGTGTGATTGATTTTGACATTGCTCTCATAAGAAACAGGCTATAATGTCAAATTGAAATGAACTGTTAACCCATTTTAAAATATTTTTTTATCAAATTTGAATTTGTTAAAAAAAATTTACACAAATATTTTTCCATCAACAAATTTTCTTAATAAACGTTAAATTGTTAAGAGATTCAACGCCGAGGAGAGCAAGTAAGTACATTTAAAGTTTGGTTATAAGTAAATACGTTCGACTTTGCTTAAATATTTAATGTAAGGAAATCAAGGTGAAACGGAGTAAAACATTTGAACGTTGCGCTGTATGCAATAGAAGTAGGGATGCCAATCCCGGGATACCGGATGCCTTTTTTGAAAAAGATTTCAATGAATTTACTCATAGCGTCGCTAATGTAAACGAAACAGAGAGTTTTAAGGAAAAGTTAGATAATTTTTTAGATCAATCTACTCAAAACTTCCTCAAATCGAAAAACTTATAATTTGACCGACGTGCTGGTAAAAGAAGTTCAAATATTTTGTAATGGAGGAGATGGAGGTCATTATCTTCAAATGGATTATGTCTACCTTTTGACATTTCAGCCTAAAAGTGTTGATGCCGAAATATGTTTTTCATCAGTAGGTTTTGTATGTAAAAACTGCAGGTCAAGCTTAGAAGACTCCGCTTTGAATGCTTTGCTGCTCTTACGAAAACATTTTAAGTGCAATAATAACAACACCGGCAAAAAAAGGGGTGTGTGCTTTTAACCAGACCCAACTACCAACATGTATTCCGACCCGCTGAATCTGATTCTGAGATCCGTTTGACTCGTACACCCTCAAAATTTCTAGTAAATTGCGAAAAAAATGGCACAAAATTCTCCACCTGGTTTTTACATTATTATTTGTGATGTATACGTTCTTCAATCACATGGTTTTTTAATACAATTAAAAAAATGTTTTACTTTAAAATTTGTCTGATTTAATAAATATAGCTAGCGTAGAGTGCAAAGTTGCTAAGTCCCAATTTAAAAATTGTACAGGAGAGGAAAAAACTTCGTATAGCCATTTTCTTCAAGTATTTCGCAAAACTTTGAATACAACATTTTGCCTGTTTAAAGCAAAGCAAAACTTCATACGAATTGGAGGGATTCGATATCAATTAAAAGATTTCGGGATCCCGGGATTACCTAAAAAATATCCCGAAATCCCGGGATCCCAATTTTCCCGATATTTTGGCATCCCTAAATCGAAGTCAGGAGACGAAAATAGTGCGATGTTTTAAACCACCTTGTTGCGAGTTTAGACGGCAGCGATGGGAAGAAAGCTGTGGTGTTGTACTACGTGATTCACCTCGCGAATCTCATCTTGTGGAAACCACTTCAAGGAAAGCGATTTCATTTGATGTCCGTCCGAATCAAGCACTTTCAATCGAGCTCATTTATACCCAAACTATTTCGCATGAAAAAAGTTTGATTTCAAAATTGTTAGAGTTAAGCTCTAATATAAAATTGGCAACAAATGTGAAATCATACTTATAAGTGTCGAATAATATTTAGGATAAAAATTTAAATTCAAAAATAAACGCACAAAAGCATAAAACTTGGGCAATTAAAAACAAGAAAATTGCTAAAACGATTTTACAAACAATTTGTTTTATTTTATTGACAAAATATATATATTCCAGGTAATGTAAGTAAAATAAAACTATAATCAAAATAAAAGCCTAGGGTATCAGTGCTGACAAGCTACTTGCATTACTAAGGGTTAATTCGTTTGTTTATACTTTTTGACATTATAGTACCTTAAAAGAGAGCCGCACTGAGTTGTCAATCACACCTTGTTTAATACAATTTACGAATTTATGCAAGGTGGTGTTCAAGGAGAATTTAGATTACAACAACATGTATCAAGGCGAATTTATACAAGGTGGTGTTACTGGCATGAACCAAAAATACAAGATCACGCCTTCTTCTTAGTAGCCCGTTATAATCGCATTTAGGAAAAAAGTTGGGCGACTTTGACATTAGCCGTTTGTTTACATTTGTTCGTTGTTTACAATTTGGTGGTGGCTTTTTACTGCAATTTTCTTAATTTTCGCTTGTGACAACGTGTGCACACATAAGGTAAAGAATAATTTAATACAACGACATGATTTATAGAAGAATTTGCATAATAAAAATGATTATTCATGCGTTTAACAATTACGCGGTTTTTTTTGTTCTCTTCGTTGTTTACTTCTTACAACAAAGATGGCGTCGAGATTTCAACAGCTAGAAAATAACTTTTTTCTTTCTTTCGGGAGGGCGGGATCTTGTGTCTTTCGTTCATGTGTTACTGGCGAATTTAGATTACAACAACGACAACCACATGTATTTTGTATTGCGGGTTTTATGTCAAATCTCAATTCGCTCCGAAGTCTACATGTATTTTGTTTTTACTTTTGATGGGTGTGCTGTCAGATCAGTAAAAGCAACAACAAAATACATGTAACCGGCCGTCTTCACATGCTTGAAATAGAGTTTTGTTGACTGGGAATTTGACAGCATACTTTTTCATTTGTAAAATGTCCCAAACAAGAAGGTTCAAGCCTTTATGTATACTATACGTCGTCACGCAAGCGAGATTTTCCAGCACGTGAAGACGGCCGGTTAGGCGAAGAAACCAGCTGATTTTACAACACCACCAAAACACCACCTTGTATAAATTCGCCGTGGCGAGTGTTTGTTATGTCAAATCACAATTCGCCCCGAAGTTTACATGTATTTTGCTTTTTTTTTTTTTGAAGGGTGTGCTGCAGCGTTGGCACTTTGCGTATTAAATTTACTACGATTTTTTTAAAATTTTCAAATTAGCTACTCCACTTCGCTTTATTCTATTTTTACTACGCTTTTTATAATTCATTCAACTTATGGGCAGCAGCTATATTTAAATCACTATACCCACCCAGCCAGCAAAGAAACGTAAATTTTGTCGACAGTGCAGTTTTGTTCAATTTTGCATATTCGAAAACGAATAGAAAAACTGCCACAGTTATCATCAATTTTCGTATCCGGAAAACGTCCGAAACGTTCGAAAAAGATGATGTCATTTGAAAGCAATAATTGTATTTTATTTGCTCAAGCTAAACATTTGAAAGCATGCATGCGTAGTTAGCAGTGGCTGAGCGTGCAGAGAAGTTTGCCGGTATTTGTTAGCTTCCAGAAGGTGCCGAATTCCGTCAG